CATCCCATCCCACCCCACCCCATCCCAGCCATGCACCCCAAGAGCAGCTGCCACCCCATGCAGGCAGTCTCAGCAGGGCCAGATTCTCCCACCCCCCGGGCTCATGGGGACCCCACTCACCGTGTTGGGGGTCCAGGCATCCCCAGCACACATCTTGTTGTCTGCCTGCTGCTGAGGGGCGAGCTCCTCCTCCTCCAGCAGCAGGTACAGCTCCTTCATGCTGTTCACCTGGGGAAGACAACACGGCTGAGGCCATGAGGGGCCCGTGGCCAGGGATGGGGGACACCCAAACAGCCCTGGATGGGACATGCAGGTACAAGGGACAGCCCTGGGGATGCCCAACAGCGTGGTCCCTGCTCCACGGAAGCTGAGGTGGCAGCCCCTCAACCCACATTACCTCCAAAAAGTCCTCGCCCTCACTGTGCACCATCTTGCCCTGGCGCCAGCGCTTGAGGAACCACTTGAGCTTCATGAAGAGCAGGAGGAAGCTCTGCCTGAACTGCTGCGACTCCTGCACCAAGAGGTTCTTCTCCTGGCTCCAGAACTTCTGCTCCAGCCGCCTCTGCAGGTTCAGGCTCTGCAGCTCAAACTCCCGTCGCAGCAGGGCTTTCTGGTGGTCCTCCTTCAGCTGTGGAGAGACAAGAGAGGGGCTGGTGGCAGCGACGGGGTGCCTCTGCCCCAGGCTCTGAGCAGAGTCTGCTGCCAGCCCCATATTTAATACCCCTGGGGAGCTGCAATGCCCTGGCAGCACGTGGGGGACAGCGAGGCCACGGAGGCATCGCCACGGGTGAAAGCCCTGCGTGGCTGCAAGGAGAAGTGTGCTCAGGCCCTGTGCCTGTGCGGTCCCAGGGGACACTCGGGTCCCCAAGTGGTTCATCAGCCTGGGGCTGGAGGTGGCAAGGCCGTGGGTGTGGGGACCCCCATCTCCCAGGGACCGAGGCTGCCCACTCACCTGGCAGATCTTCTGGGAGAAGTTGTCCACCTCGTCCTTCCTCAGCTGCCTCTCCTGCGAGAGCTGCTCCTGCAGTCCCCGCAGGCTCTCGTTGGCCTCCGCCAGCACCAGCTGCAGCTCCTTCATCTGCAAGGGCCCGGGGAGGGGATGGGGACGGCGGGCAGAGCCCGGAC